CCTTCCTTCCTTCCTCCCTCCTTGCCTTCCTTCCTTCCTCCCTCCTTGCCTTCCTTCCTCCCTCCCTCCTTGCCTTTCTTCCTCCCTCCCTCCTTGCCTTTCTTCCTCCCTCCCTCCTTTCCTTCCTTCCTCCCTCCCTCCTTTCCTTCCTTTTTTTTTTTCCCCATTTTCCTTTTTTTTTTTTTTGCCTCTCAGTCTACTCCACAGGTAATGGCAGAGGTCTAAGGAGGACTTTGCCCTGCAAGAGTTTAAAAATGACTGCTTTGGGAGATTAACCCACAGGGTACTACTGCTTGTTACTGCTGCTGGGAGAGAAGCGGGGTCTCTCATCCCCAAAACTGGAGACAAGGAAATGGAGGCACAGAAAAGTGAATTGGTCAAAACAGTGCAGCTAAAAAGTGGTAGGGCCAGGGTTTCAGTGCCTAAGGCTTTCCTTATGCTCTGCTACCTGCTGGAACCAACGCTCTATAACCCTGGACTTCAGTTCTCCATTGGCTTAGACTGTGTCTCTGCTCCCTTCCAGCTCACTTGTCCTCTAAGCCTGGCCTGCGCCCTCTCCCAGCTACATCCAGGTAAGTAGCTGGTGGGTGTTGGAGCTACAGGCACAGCTGCAGGCCCCTCCTGCAGTAATTCACCCGTGACCTTCTGGGCTCCTGGCCAGCCTTTCCTAAAAGGGAAACGTGCAGACCCTGGGGACAGAAATTAGTTCCCATGTGCTGGAACTGCTGCCATTGCCAACATCACCAACTAAAGAAACTGGTGCGTGTGTGTGAAAAACAAAACACTAGGATGACAGCAAGAGGGGAGATTCCTTATGAGTATATATTACCCTCCCCCCAACCTTCACCTCAATCCTAGGAGGGGAAAGGGAGGGGGGTAGGGAGGGTTTTTTGTTCCCCCCTACAGACAATAGGATTACTATTAAAAAAAAAGTTTTACTTTATTTAAATTTTAATTAGCATCATCGAAGAACTAAATTTCTTTGCAAATACTTTACACAATGGCTTTTAAGAGTAAGTTTTTTTGGGGGGGGTGTGCCTGTTAGTTCAAATATGTATCCCCAACTATTCTGTTTTCTGGGAAGTCTTGGAATTTAATGAGTTTCCTGCTCCTTACGTTGAGGTAAGTATCCGCGCAACCTGGGGGAGGGACACGGGGAAAAGGAAGAATGTGGGTAAGTACAGAAAGATCGTAGCTCACCTTTTGAACTCCTTGCTTGAGGTCCTTAGCCACCTTTGCCATCTTCTGTGGTGCAGGAACAGCGCCTGGCTTCTCGGGCAGAGGCGCGAGGGCGCGCAGCGGGGACAGCGCTGGCTGAATGGCCAAGTTCGCGGGCCCAGGGGGAGCTCTGCGCGCAGCCCGGCGCCGCGGGGTCCTTTAATTGGAGAGCGGGACTCCCTCTAAAACCGCGCCAGCCAATCCTCGCGGGCGCTCGCGCTCGGCCAGCCAATGGCAGCGCGCGGCTCCCCCCCTCCCTCCGGGCGGCCTGGGCCGGGCCGGGCGGCTGCGGCGGCGCGAGCGCTGCTCTGACGTCAGTGCGGCCGCGGCCCCTGCCTGCCCTGGCGGCTTACATCTGTCCCTCGAGCGAGCGGCAGGAATCCGTCCCCACGCCCTTCTCCTTTAAAGGACAACGGGCAGAGGGTGGGGAGGGCCGCTGCGCCCCCGCGATCCATTCAGGTCAGAAGGGAGAGTGATCAAACAGGAAGGCTGAGGTATTTTTAGTGAGCTGGGTCCAAAAATAAATGCTGAGCCGTGTTCCCCTTCCCACCCTTTCTGCCTTGTCCTAGGCGGGCGCGGGGCGACGGGGGGGAGGCAGTGGTGTGCAGCCTCACTGACTCGGCCTGCTGACTTTCCCAAACCGGGGCAAGTCCTCCAATCACCACACAGGAGGTGAGAACCCAGTGAGTTAGGATTTTTTTTTTTCAATTAATATTTGTAAATTATTAATCTGTCTTTCATAACTTGCTTTGTGTAAATCCTCCCAATTCAGCGAGGAGAATACAGTCCTGATTTTATAAGCACTGAGATGTACATCTTTCTAGTTTCAGAATTACCTTGGGTGTTGTTATTACCGTGATGATGATGATGATGGTGATTATCACTTGCACTTGGTAGATGAGGACATAGGCTTAGAGAGGGTAACTGGTCCAAAGTTGAACTCTTTGGCAAGGCTTTAAATCTGAGTTAGTGAGAGTGAGAACTTACCAGGGGAGAAGGGGCACAGGATGACAAGTAGCCATAAACTAGGAAATTCTAGTTAAACTCCATAAATTGGGCTATGGAGATCTGGACAAGCAAGATTCCATCTGTGGATTTCTCACATCCTTGGGGTGAAGTGTCTGGCAACATCTAACATAACAAGTCCTATAGGACAATATGAACAAAGTCTTCCCTCACTATGCCATGTTGTGTGCCTCTAAATCCACATCTCTACTGAGCCAGTTCCACAGACCTGGGGTCCCAGAGGCATTTTCTTCCCTACCCGGACAGAGGACTAAACCCCAGCCCTTTTTTACCCTGGGGGGAATACTGCTCTGTTATGAGGTTTTCAGTCCTGTAACTCACGTTGGCAATACCCCCTGCCAGAAACTAGGGCTCAAGTGGGCTACCATAAAACTAAGTTGCAGGGAGACTGAAGGGGAGGGGGTCTCAAAGTATTTCATATGACTGATTTAGGGGGGGTGGGGGAACTGCAGGTCACATTCTAGGGCTTTCTCTCTAATTGGAGGTACTTTAAAGCCTCCTCCATTTTGGTTCTTAACACATCATCATCCCCACCCATCCCAAATCTTGACCAATCATCCCAGATTATGATTCCTTTTTTACATTCCTGGAAAGGGCCTTCTGTGTGTGATTCCCCTTTTCTTCTCTCATGGATCTGCTATAATTGATGTTTGTTTTGCTTGCTCCCAGCTGTAGCCCCAACACCTAGCATGTGATAGGCACTCGGAACATGTGTGTTGAATGAATGCAGGCTGGGTTCTGGCTTTTAATCAGTAGTGAGCAGGCAGGCAGGACTTAGGAAGAGATGGTGCAATGCTATACCTTGGTCTCTTTTGCCCAAACATCTAAGGTGGGCTGCACATTAAACCAGTGTGTAAATAAACGGTGGCCAACAGAAGCCTGGCCTGGAAGAGGTTTCCATGTGAATAGCCCATTCAGTAGCAGATCCTAGGAACAATAGTGCTGAACTGGGATGTCATGCCAGAAGCCTTTATATTCCAGAGTTATAGGAACAGAAGCCAGGAGAATAACAAAGACATGCTTTATCCCTTGCAAACTGGGCGGAAGCCTTCCCAGTGAAGTCATTTCTCACTCCCTTCCCAGCCACCCTTCTTGCCCCGTCTTGAGAAATTATTGTTCCATGGAATAATTCCAATTTTACTAACTTTAACACTGAATATCTCCAAACTCATGACCCCCTTTCCCTCCTTATTTTTACCCTTGGCCCCTGTGTCAGTTAAGGAGGCAGATATTGTGGCTATTTCTCAGAATGTGAGAATCAGGAGCTACTGCTTGGAGTGGCCCAGTCTCTTTTTTCTGGAGAATTACCTGTTGTGGCCGGAAAGGTGACCCCCAGTCCCTGCTAGTACTTATTCTTTCCCTGGCTAAAGATGCTCACTCTGACTCTGAACACTACTCTTGAGCCAGATGTTCCAGGGGACCTATAGTCAGAATCTTGGCTGGACAGCTAGACAGACTATTATGATTTGGGACATTCTGGAAAATGGAAGAGATATGGCCATTATACCTTAGCTTCATTCTAGCACTGAGATCCTTTTGCTTCTCTTTGGAAGAAAATGGGCTCTCTTTTCTAGGTTGGAACAGTGACAGATCTGATTTTCCCAAGGCTCATGGCTTTGTGGTGCTAGGGCTTATTAGAAGCTTCATTCATCCACCAAGTAGTTTTGGGGCACCTGCCTTAGCCAAGCCAGCTGGGTGCTGGGTACACCCCAGGTAAATAAAAGAATCCTTCCCCTTCAAGAATGTCTTGGTCTAATAAATGTCACTGGGGCTCTCCGGTTGACAAATCTCTTCTCTTACTTGAACTACGGGACAATCACAGAATAATTCTAATTATTCCATAATAATTCTAATTATTTTTCTGGGAGAAAGTGGAGATTTGGGACAGTCAAGGGCTCTATCCAGGGTCACACAGTCAGTAAGTGGCAGAGCTAAAATTCGAACTCAGGACTTCTAACTCCAAACTGTGTCCTTTCAACTGTACCACACTACCTCCCAAATGAATCTTAGGGATTGACTACAGGGAAAAAAGTATGCACTTGAAGGAAGATGGTATTGTTGTTATTGTCATTATCAGTGGGTTTGTCCTAACTGGGATTTTTGACTCTGTGTCTCATGCCCTTTTCATTATTCGTTCATTCATTCATTCATTCATTCACTCATTCAACAAACATTGAACTGAGAACTACAATGGGTTAGGAAGCCCTGAGCTGAGGGTATGACAGACCATGAATAAGACAGGAAAGGTTCCTGCCCTCACACAGCTTCTATTCTAGTGGAGGGAGACAGGCATTAAACAAGGGAACAGGTAATTAGATAAGGTAATTGAGGATGGCAGTGAGTGCCTTGGAGGAAGTATGGAGGAGAGATTCCATATGTGGTCCATTCACATCAGGTGGTCCAGTAAAGGCCTGACTGAAGGGGTCATGTGAGCTGAGACCTGAAGGAGAAGAATGAGTCAGCTATGAATAGAGTCGCCATGGAAAGAACATTTCAGAAGGATGGAGTCATGAGTGCAAAGACCCTAAGGTGGGTACAGGCTTTCTATGTCTGAGGGATCATAGGTTCCTGTGGCTGGAGGGTAATTAAGGACAGGGAGAATGCATAAGGGGACATGAGGAGTAGGCAGTGACTGGATCACATTGGACCCTTCTATGGAGGCTAAGTTCTTTTTTGAGAACAGTGGGGAATTATAGATGAATACTTTCCAGCTGAGACATAAGGTGTGCCAAATATGTCATATAAAAATTTCTAATAGATACATTAGAAAAAGTAAAAGGAAACAGGTGAACTATTTATAATATATTTTAGTTAACCCAATATATCTCAAATGTTGTCATTTCTATGTGTGATTGATATACAGCATTATTGAGGTATTTTACATTCTTTTTTTGGTGTTATCTCTTTGAAATCTGGTATATGCTTTACACTTGCAGTACACCTCTCTTGAGATCAAACATATTACAAATGTTTAGTAGTCATTTGTGGCCAGTGGCTATCATATTGGACAGAGCAGTTATAGAGTTTTAAGTGTGTGGGGGAGGATGACAGTATCTGATTTACTATTTAATTCACAGCAAGGACACCCAAGGGGTACTAATAGAGACCTAGCTCGTAACTAACAATCCCTCATTATCAGGTGGAAAGACTGAGGGTCTGAGAACCAATAACTACAAGTCTGGTCTACTCTGTTTCAGGCAGTGCACTGGGAAGGACAAGTGATTTGCCCAAAGTCACAAAGCTAGAAAGAAGCCAAGCAAACCTTGAACCTAGATCTTTTGGCTTCATGTCAGACACTTTAGGAAATCTCCAATAATCATGGCTCCCAATGAGGATGCTTTTATTGTTACATTTTAGCAAGTGTGGCTTGGTTGTTTTAGTATGCAAACATGAGGATTGGCTTCTATTTGGTTATGACTTTTTAGATATATTGTATTCATTAAAACACTCAACATTTAAAGAGTAGGTATATGTGAATAATCCATGAATCACCTAATATATTTTGGTGTGTATTAATTGATACAAATAATCCCTGAACCATATAGTATATTTTAATATATATTAGTTGATATAAATATGCCCCAAACCACTTATATGTTTTAATTTGTATCAACTTGGACCATCATTCATACCATGTATATAAGAATTGTTCACAACTTACATTTTTTTGGTTTCTTTCCTGTCATTCTTACAGTAACTTTAATTTTAGAATAACTATCTAATTTTCTCCAGATTTTTGGATGGCTTCCTAGATCAAGAAAGGCTTTGCCTATAAGGCCAAAACATCTGGATAAAAACAAAACTTGGTTGTTGGACCCAAGCATTCTCTTGCCTTATAGCCTAGCTTTAACAGGGACGATGAAGGACATGAGGAAACTCTATCCATTGTGAAGGAGCACTGGATCAGGAGTCCAGAGCCCTACATTTTGATCCTAGCTATGTTAAAATGTTGTGGCTGGCTATTATCTCTAAGGCCACTTGCAACTCAAATGTATTATTATTTACTAGGAGCAAGTGATCAATTTTCTCTGAGTATCAGATATATATCCTACTTGGTGCAATGGAGCCATTCTGTTCTTTGCCAGGTCAACAAGAGTATAAAGAGTTACT